AAAAAAAAAAAAAAAAAATCTTAAAAAAAAAAAAAAAGAAGATTAAGACACAGCCAGGTAGAGCATGGGTGCATTTACAAACGGTGGGTCATTCAAAGTGCTTAACGTCAAAACATTGCTATGTAAACCATTAGGTTCAAAGTGGAGTTGCCAGTTTTCCTCTGGTGCCAATGGGAGCCGTAATCAAAAGAGAAACAGGCATTTTTACGAAGTACATTTTTTTTTTTTGAAGTACATTTTCCATTAAGACAGTTCCTCACAGCCAGTAAATGCTTTCTGGCACTTAGGCACAAGGTCTTCATCAAAAACCAAAAGAGTTGCCCCAAATCAGTATCACCATTCCTCCTCCCTTTCTTATTTGAACCCACTGCAGTTGCTTTTTATCTCCTCCTTCCTCCACAAGTGGTTTTTATCAGGATCACCAATGACTTCATGTTGTTAAATACCACACTCAGTTTTTACTTGACCTTCCAGCAGCATCCAACATTGGTAGTACTTCCTTTTTCCTTAAAATACTCTTGTCATTTGGTGTTCAGAATGCCATGCTCTCTGGATTTTTCTGCCTTATTGGCCACTTGCAGGGTTCAACTTCTTTTTGTAATTTGTCTTGTCTCCCATTCTCTTATCTTAATCCCCAGAGTGTCTCAGGGCTCATTCCTTGCATCTTTTGTATTTGTACTCACTCCTCAGTGTTCTCATGCAGTGTCACAGTTTAAGCAGCACTGGTATGGTGATGGCTTCCTCTTTGGATCTCCAGCCTGCACTTCTTCCTTAAGCATCTCCTCCTATATCGTACTGTCTCCCTGACATCTCTAAGGTACACATCTCTACAGGTGTGTCCAGCTAATCATTTCCCAAACCAAGTTCCTGATCTCACCTGAAACCTGTTCCTTCCATAGTTTCCTTCTTTCAGTTAATAGCTTCTCCTAGTTTCTCAGATGAGGGGTCAGCACATTTCCGTAAAGGGCAAGATGATTAGCCTTTGTGGGCCAGATAGTCTCTGTTACAACTCCTCAACTCTCCCACACAGCACAACAGCAGCCGTAGACGATACAGAAGCCAATGGGCATGTCTCCATTTCTCACACTTTTATCGGTCTCTGTCTTTCCCATCACCCGTGGGCAAATCCTGTTGGTTCTGTTTACAAAGTAGACCTCAGATGTGCCCCTCTTCATTGCCACAGCACCACCGTAGCCTGAGCCATCATCATCGGTCACTTGGACTGCTGCAGCTGCCTCCTCACTGTTCTTCTTGCTAACATTCTTGCTGTCTTACAGGCCCTTCTCCAGATTGCTTTGTTGCTTTGGTCCTTAGTATTTTCTTAAAAATTTTAGAAGCAGCTTGTCAGTTTCCACAAAACACCTCCTAGGATATTGGTTTTATCCAGTTGCTTGGCTCTATCAATTTGGAGGATAATCAATATTTTTATACTGTGGAATTATCTTTTTTTAAGATTTTTAAAATTTATTTATTTAGAAAGAGGGGGTGAGGAAGAGAGAGTGAGCACGTGAGTGCAAGTGGGGAGAGGGACAGAGGGAGAGAATCTCAAGCAGACTCCCTGCTGAGCGCAGAGCCCAACACAGGCCTTTATCCCATGACCCATGAGATCATGCCCTGAGCGAAAACCAAGAGTCAGATGCTCAACCAGTTGGCTACCCAGATGCCCCTATATCATGGAATTTTCTAATCCAGGAACATGGCATTTTCTTGGATTTATTCACATTTTCTTTAATGTGTTTCAGTAGAGTTTTGTGGTTTTCAGTATTGAGGTCTTGCAAATTTTTCAAGAATTATTTCTAGGCATTTGCTATTTTGATGTTACTATGAATGGTATTATTATTTAATTTCATTTTCTAGTAGTTGGCTACTAGTATATTGAAATACAGTTGACTGGGGCACCTGGGTGACTCAGTCAGTTGAGCGTCCGACTCTTGGTTTTGGCTCAGGTCATGATCTCGGGAATGTGGGATCGAGCCCCGTGTCAGGCTCCCCTCTCAGCAGGGAGTCTGCTTCTCTCCCTCTCCCTCTGCTTCTTCCCCTGCTCTCTCTCTCTCCCTCTCTCTAAAGTAAATAAATAAATCTTTTTTAAAAAATGAAATACAGTTGATTTATCAACACTGATCCTATGGCCAGTGACATTGAGAAATTCATTTATGAATTCTAATAGTTTATAATTCTTACAGATTTTCTACATTCAAAATCATGTCCTCTATCAATGATAAATTTCTTCCTTTCTAATATTTTTGCCTCTTATTTCTTTTTCTTGCCCAATTGCATTGGCTAGGATCTTCAGTACCATTTGAATAGAAATGGTGATAGGCATCCTTGTCTCATTGTCTCAGTGCAGAAACTTTTAATAATTCATCATTGAGTGTAATGTTTGCTTTGAGGTTTTATATTATTAAGTTTATTATTTAGGTTTTGTACTATTTTTCAGATTAAGGCAGATTACTTATATTCCTAATTTGCTAAGAGTTTTCATCATTAAAGGGTGTTAAGTTTTATTTTATGCTTTTTTTTCTAGTGTTTTCCTGAAGTTTTGTTATAAAAATTTCAGATGTGCAGAAAAGTTGAAAGAATTTTACAGTGAACACTCATATACCAACCAGGTAGATTCTGTAATTAACATTTTACTGCACTTGCTTTATCACCCATGTGATATTGTGAGTCATAAGAAATGTACATTTGGTCATTCAGACAACCAAAATACATTTCTCATCTATATTTGGTCTTGTCCACAGTTCCTGGCTCATAGCTCCCAAAATCCTTGGGATTTCCTAAATGTTGAGAGTGATAACAGTATCTTTTGTGATGTGAACAATTACTTTTAGAAGCATCCAAGGATGAGGGCTGGTTGCCAGGAGAATCAAGCATGTGATTAGAGGGTTGGAACTTGCAGTCACACCCCCTGACCTAGGGGAATAGGAAAAGGGCAAGAGGTTGAATCAGTTTCCTGTGGCCAGTGATTTAATCAGTCATGCCTGTGCAATGAAGCCTCCATAAAAACCCATAAGGACGGTGTTCAGACAGCTTCCGGGTTGGTGGACAAGTGGAGATTGGGAGAGTGGTGCACCTGGAGAGTGCATGGAAGCCCCTACCCTTTCCCCATACCTGGCCCTACGCATCTCTTCCATCTGGCTGTTCCTGTGTTATATCCTTTTATGGTAAACTGGTAATCTAAAAAGCAAAATGTTTCTCTGAGTTCTTTGAGCTGCTCTAACAAATTAATTGAACCTGAGGAGGAAATTGTGGGAACCTCTGATTGATAGCCAGTCGATCAGAAGTACAGATGACAATCTGGAGTTGTGACTGGCATCTGAAATGGGAGAGGGGAAGGGGAGTCTTGTGGGACTGAACACTTACATGGTGGAATCTGATGCTGTCTGCAGGTAGACAATGTCAGAATTGAGCTGAATTGTAGGACACTGCGCTGGTGTCCCAAGAATTGCTTTTTTTTGTTATGATGAAACCATCACCCTGCCATGTTGGAAATTGAGTCTCAGAATATCAGAAGAACCTCCCTCTCCATTTAGCCATCCCTTTCTCCCTTGTTTTTTGCTGTATTTCAAAGTAAATTGCAAACATTAGCAAACTGCTCCCTAAATACCCCAGCATGTATATCATTAACTTATTGTTTAATATGTATTTATGGTACTTTTATTTATTTTGATGTAAAATTTACATACAACGAAAAGTACAAATCTTTACCATTTGGTAGTTTTGACATATGTGTTCTCACTTGTGTTACATCCACTGACATGATGATGTGATTTTTATCCTTGATTCTGTCAATCTGGTGAGTTACATTAGTTGACTTTTGAATGGCAGGATATGTTTAATGAGTTTTAAGTTTCTTCCATAAGGGTAAAACTAGATTCATCAGTCCTTGGATATATAATGTAATGTGAAAATGATCATAATAAATTCATATGCATTTTTTCCACATCACCGTGTGAAAAATCACTTGAAACGAGTATGCTTTTACAGGTAACATTGTCATTTAAGGATGTGGTTGTGGACTTCACATCAGAGGAGTGGCAGCTACTGGATGCTGTTCAGAAGAACCTATACTGGGATGTAATGTTGGAAAATTATAGCAACCTCGTGTCTGTGGGTAAGGACCCTTGGTGAACCCTCAGCCTGTTGCCATTCCTTTCTTAACTGCTGGAATTTTTAAGTTTTCTGAAATGTTTAACGTCTTTGAACTTATGATTTATGGATGGTAGAACTTTTGTGTCTGTCTGAACCTGGAGAGAGGATCTTGCTCTCACCTCCCAAATGAAAGTTTTTCACTTTGCTGAGGTGCTAACTCTGAAACAGTCCCTTCCTACTTCTTCAGAGGTTCCAAAGACCAAGCTCTTGGCACCATGTTTATCCTTATGCAGATTGTTAGACTTCCAGACTAGCAGCAGTCCTCCATCTGGAACAGGGAGTCATGGGTTATAGAGGGAGAAATCAGCAGTAAGGGCCATCTAGGTGAGTGGATAAAAGCCAGGTCCATGAGTGAAAGCCTAAGGAACTAGAACCTTTGATAGGTTATTTTGAGAATACTGCTTAAAAACCCTTAAACCCTTAAGGCGCCTGGCTGGCTCAGTAAGTAGAGCATGTGTCTCTTGATCTCGGGGTCATGAGTTCAGGCCCCACTTTGCAGGTAGAGATTACTAAAAAAAATAAACTTTTTTGAAGTCTTTGCCCTCTGTGTCAGATCTGCAACTTAGCTAGGACCTGGCTTTCTTGGTTATTCTCTTTCTAGCGTCTTCACTCTTTATCACCAACACTGCTCACGTTGCCTTCCTCCTACTCAACGTCTCACCAATGGTCAGAATTAAGCTTTCACGTACACATGGATTTTTCCCCATAACCATGACTTTTATGTTGCTCTGCTTCCCTTCTATTTTCTCTTCACCTTCTAATGGATGCCTCTAACTTGTATTCTATTTCCAGAACATCATTTCTTTCCTTGATCCCTTGATCCTTGTTATGAGAGTTGGCCCCTTCCAGTACCTAATCATATACACATTCATTGGTCTCCTTCCTAGAAGACACCTGGCAAGCTGATGATGGTATAGATTGGGATTTGGGAAAACTCTGACAGGCTGGATCCCATGGGAGAGGCACCAGGAATGTGATGTATTCAGCAAAATATTTCACCAGAGAAAAGACTTTGATCAATTTGACTCAAATGGAAAAACTTTGAAACATAATTTAGACTGACTTTTCCAGAACAGAAATTATATAAGTAAAAAACCTGAAAAGTTATTTTTCCACACTATGCACAAAAACACTCATTCTGGAATTGCTATGAATATGATTGTGGAGAAGCTGTCAGTAAGACATTGTGCCTCAATGAGTCATATAGAAATGAGATTTTATAAATGTAGTGAATGTCAAAGATCTTTTAACCATATGTCACAACTCCTTCTACACTGAGAAGTAACAAAGGAGAGAAACTCTATGGATGCAGTGAATGCAGAAAATTTTTCTCACAGAAATCACAGTTCATGGTACACCAGAGAATTCACACAGGAGAGAAAATACATGAATGCGATGAGTGTCTGAAAGCTTTTATTCGGAAGACAGAGCTTTTACATCAAAGAACTCACATAGGAGAGAAGCCTTATGAGTGCAGAGAATGTCCAAAGGTTTTTAGTAGTAAGTCTCAGCTCACTCTACACCAGAGGTGTCACACAGGAGAGAAACCCTATGAATGCAGTGAGTGAGTGTGGGAAAGCCTCCCCCCACAAATCTACCCTGTTTTTGCATCAGAGAACTCACACCAGAGAGAAACCCTATGAATGTAATGAATGTTGGAAAACCTTCATTAGTAAGCCACATCTCACTAAGTGTGAGAGAACTCATACAGGTGAGAGACCCTATGGATGTAAGGAATGTGGAAGAACTTTCTCTCAAGTTTAGTTTCACTTTACATCATAAAACGCATAAAAGAAAAAAGCCCAATGAATGCAGTCAGTGTCAAAAGCTTTCATCTGCAGGTCACAGCTCCTTGAAGACCAAAGAACTCATACTGGAGAAAAACCCTTTTCATGTAAAGAATGTCCGAAGGCTTTCATCCAGAAGTCAGAGCTCACTTTACATCAGAGAATTCATACTGGGGAGAAACCTTATAAATGCAGTCGATGTCAGAAAGCTTTCGTGCGGCAGTCAGAATGCATTTTACCTCAGAGAGTTCATACCGGGGGGCTGGGGGGAAGCCTTTCCAATGTGGTGAATTGGAAAGCCTTCGGCACCAAATCACCACTCATTACATACCAGGGAACACGCACAGGAGAGAAACCCTATGGATGCAGTGGTTGTGGGAAAGTTTTCTCACAGAAGTCACAACTCCCTGTACATTAAAGAACCCACACAGGAGAAAAACCATATGAACGCAGTGATTGTCAGAAAGCCTTTAGCCATAAGTCCCCACTCATTATGCACCATACAGGAGAAAAGCCCTATGTATGTAGTGAATGTGGGAAAGCTTTCACCTGGAAACCTGGCCTAATCGAAGAACACATACAGGAGAGAGACCCTACAATGCAGTGAATGTGTGAAATCCTTTGGTGTCAAGTCACATAGTAGTCAGGTTCCATGCCCAGTGTCATATAGTAGAGAAATCAGATGGATAAGATGGATATGGTGAAAATGAAAAAGCATTTAAGGAGGTCATTCCAACATGAGATAGCAGGCGTATGGGAGACAGTTTTTATGGTGACTAAAGAAAAACTTCCAGTCAGATGTTTACTTTCATTGAGAATTAAAATGAGAGAGAAATCTAGTGCCATAGATAAATATGACAAAAATCTTCAGTAATAACCTACAGTGCAATCGTTCATCGGAAGGCATACACGAGAGAAACTGAATTTAGCAAATGTGCAGAAGTTTTCACACAGAAACCCATAGAGGAAAGGAACTGTACACAGGGGAGGAATGTTGCAATATTTTCATTGAGAAACCAAATTTCAGATGCACCGGAGAGTTTACGCCAGAGTGAATCATAGAAGAGTAATGAATGTGAGAAAAATCTTTTATTGAAAGTCAGAAGCATGTGATATTAGAGAATTTACACTAAGGAATAACTCTGATCGCCATAAAATACTTGAAAACCTTTTCTTTTTTGAAAACCTTTTCTGATTATGAAAAAAATGTCCACAGATAATACGTGTAAGAATGCAAACCTGTGGGGGCACCTGGGTGGCTCAGTTGCTTAAGTATCCTACTCTTGATTTCTGCTCGGGTCATGATCTCAGGTTCATGAGATCAAGCTCTGCCTTGGGCTCCGTGCTCAGTGGGGAGTCTGCTTGGGATTCTCTCTCCCTCTCCCCCTCCTCCTCTTCTCTCTTTCTAAACTAAATTAATTTTTTTAAAAAGGGGGTGCCTGAGTGGTTCAGTCAGTTGAGCATCATACTTGGTTTTGGCTCAGATCATGATCTCAGGGTCGTGAGATGGAGTCCTGTGTCAGGTTCCATGCTAGGTGGAGAGTCTGCTTGAGATTCTTTCCCTCTGCCCCTCCCCCCATTCATGTTCTTTCTCTCTTTCTCTCAAATAAATAAATCTTAAAAAAAAAAAAAGTGGGGCATCTGGGTGGCTTAGTCAGTTAAGCATCTGCCTTTGGCTCAGGTCATGATCCCAGAGTCCAGGGACGAGCCCTGCGTCAGGTTCCCTGCTCAGCAGGAGTCTGCTTCTCCCTCTCTCTCTGCCCCTCCCCCTGACTCGTGCGCTTGCTCATGCGCGCTCTCTCTCTCTCAAATATTTAAAAAATAAAAATTAAAAAAGTTTTTAAAAGCGTGGGGATGACTACACCATGAAATGCAACTCTTAATTGTGTATAAGAACTTATATTTAGGAAAAATTAAATCAGGTCAATAAATTGAGATCATTTCCTCTAGAAATAATTTTAGAAAGTAAGTCATGTTCTTGCTGTGAATACCATGTTGATAAAGAAAATATTTCAAAAGGCTTTCAGTATGAAGAAGACATCAGTGTTCACTGTGGAGTATGAGCCTTTTTAAGTATGTGTATAAATGGAACATTCAGAATAAGAGAAGTTTACCAATAATTTCAGCTATATATCTAGGTGTTTATTTTCTGATAATATCATGGAACATGCTTTTTGAGCTTTGAAAATTGTGACTTTTTGAGCTATATGTGTAAGTATATTTATAGGTAAGAGGTGAATATATGTTTTATAACTATATTTTGAACTGATTTCAAAATTACAGAAAAGTTGCAAGAATAGTTACAAAGAACTTAAAAAAATTTTTTTTTAGAGAGAGAGTGCGCAAGCGATTGGGGGAGGGGCAGAGGGAGAGGGAAAGAAAATCTTAAGCAGGTTCCATGCCCAGTGCAGAGCCCGAAATGGGGCTTGGGGCTCGGTCTTACAGCCCTAAGATCATGACCTGAGCCAAAATCAAGAGTCAGATGCTTCACCGACTGAGCCACCCAGGTACCCCATACAGTGGACTTTTCATCCAGATTACCCAGGTGTTAATGTTTTACTACATTTGCTTTATTATATTCTCTCTCTGCATGTATACACACATACGTATTATTTTGTTTTTCTGAGCCATTTGAGAGTGAGTTTCAGATAGATACCTCTTCAGTGTGTAAATACTAAGAACAAGGACATTCTCCAACATAATCACAGTATAACTATTAAAATCAGGAACATTGATTCAGTACTATTATCTAATTTACATCTGACTGGCTCAATTGGTAGATCGTGCAACTCTTGATCTTGAGGTCATAAGTTCAAGCCTTACATGGGGTGTAGAGATTACTAAAAAAGAAATAAACTTAAAAAAAGTTACTTGGGACGGTTTTAAAAATTACATTGGAGTGATTATGAAAATAAAATTAAATTATTTTCTGTTTGTATTCTTAGAATTTTTGTACCTATTCTTGTTGATGTTGGTATTATTTTTTTTTTTTAAAGATTTTATTTATTTATTTGAGAGAGAGGGAGCATGAGAGGGGGGAGGGTCAGAGGGAGAAGCAGACTCCCTGCCGAGCAGGGAGCCCGATGCGGGACTCGATCCTGGGACTCCAGGAT